CAACAAAAACCCAAACAAAGCAAAAAACCAAACCCAAACAAAACCAGCTGATATTGCAGTACTGTAATTACTGTACATCAAATTACATCAAATAATGGACAATGAAGAAACCAATCATCCAACACATTGCTTTCTTGAGTTTCTAGAAGCTGAAAGATTTGTGAACTTCTGTATTTCACCCACATGTGCTTTTCTCACCTTCTCATATTAAAGCTAGCTACTTTCAATGGATCCAACTTTCCACTACCTGTAATGCTGCAGGATTAATGCCATTGGCTTTATACTAAAATAAATTAACTTTCTTGAAAGTAAACACTCATCTTTTTGTAAATTTAAGGTCAACAGTGGAGAATGACCATTATACAAAGAGCTGAAGCAATTCCATAACACCAAGCCATRTTTAGATGCAGTTATGACTGCAATCACACAGATTGACTTAAATAGGATGAGAAGATGAAGTACCTGACTTGAAAAGGTGTCATTGCACTTTTGTTAGACATTTCAAAGTGAACTTGGTTGTAATATAGTGATTTTTTAAATGCAGTGGTGATTTCACAGCAACCATTGTAGACAACAACTCCTAACAGTGGCAAGAAAGGCTCTCCAACATAAACACCCAATGTATCATTTGTTTATGCAAAAAGAGCAAATAAAGTAATAGGATTACTGGTCTGAGGGGAGAACAGTTTCCATCTTATGTAAGCAGACATTTGTTAAAGAGATTAAAGCTAACATAGTAGTCACATAGAAAATTTTAAAATGGTTCCAGCAGCAAATTCAGCATTAAAGAGAAATTATTTCCATGTCTAGTGCATTCTTTTAGAAAAAAAACCAAAATTTCTTTGTTGATTTAGGATAAGAATTCAAGTCTCCTACCACAGAAGACTGCATCTAACCACTGCTGCTTAATCTGATTTTGCCTGTTAGAGTTCTTTCACTTACTTTAATACATATTAGCTCAAAATAGCAAAACTGTGCCAAGGGTTTCAATGAGGGACTGGGATACCTTCAAGTTTCTGGACTGAAACAAGCAGAGAAAGGTCACTGTGTTTCTAACTATGGCAAAGTGTTGTCCTTTTCCCTTGGAAAATGTGCATATTCATGGAGACAAAAAAACAAACAAACAAAACAAACAAACAAAAAAAACCAATCCCCATTCTTATTAGTTTGAAGGAATTGTATCAAAACCATCTCATCCATGAAATGGATGTCTGTAAGAAGTAAATAATTTATTTCTCAAAGAACAAAGTTGGGGAGGTGGGGCTGGAAGGAATCCCAGTTTGAAATAGTGCAAGATTATTGAATAAGGGGTATCCCTATTATTTTGCATCTGTAACTGTAGARAAAGATACATACTTACAAGTTACTTACAGGCCTGTCAACAATAATTTTTATCCCCTTTACTTTGTAAATATGTTTAACTTCTTCAGCTGTTTCTTGTCTCAGAAACATGAAGTATTGCTTGTACACACAATTATAATAACAGTGTTTCATCTGTTATTGACAGACACAAAAATGTTACAGATGGAGAGACACAGACAAGGATTTAGATTGGGGGTGGAAAGTGCCAGTTCAAATCTGTTCCATGGTAAGTTTTTCAGCAAAGTCAAAATGTTTTTTCTTCTAATGTTATTCACAATCTTTGCCCTTCCTGGTTATTTCTGAAGACAGAGAATCTAAACATTTATCCAGATTTGAAAGAGCTTGCCCATAGAATATGAAGGCACTTGGTGAAGCCAGCATACCAGAAAACCAGCTTAGCAACTCACTAGGAGGGACAGCAGTTATCTAACAACCCAGCCCAGGCATCCCTCCCATCTASAGAGATCATTGCTTTGCATGAAAACTGGCATTATTATCTGCAGAGGTAAACAACTTGTAAAAACTTGACATCCAATTTTCTTGATCCAWAGGAAATTTCCTGCTTCTGATGGTGTTATTACTCAGAATTCCTCTCAGATGATTTGGTTGTATAAACAAAGGCTATCTGGTGCACACTTATTTTCACTTACTTCCTTTTAGCAGTGACCGAATTTCTTCTGAAAGAATGAGCCCACTCCCAAATGCTAAAGATGAACTGAGACAAAAAGGTTCTTACAAAGGAATGTTCTCAGCATATCCTCTTCCAAAGACATTAGACATGTCATGTTTATGAGTGTTGTTACACATCAAAGCAGTGATACCTCGTTACTATTAGAAATGGCAGTTAAACACTCCATTCAAGTCTGATACAGAACTTTGCCTTCCAGATATCTCAAAGGATCTTAGAAATCAGATAGCTGGCACCTTAGAAAGTTGGCAACAGAACACAAATCATGTAACTCATGTATCAGTCATGTAAATCATGTAAGCCAGCTGAAGAACTGAAAAAAWATTAACTTGGAATAGAGCAGGACCAGCTCTAGCCCAAAGTAGCAGTATCACATCAGATTATAGGATCACCTCCAAAAATAGGTTAAACCCCATATGAAATTAATCTTTAAAATCATGGGCTGTCCAACTGTAAGTCACATCAGAAATATTAACTTTGTGTAGTAAAAATMTACTTCTGACACTTCCCTCTACAATTGTTAACTAACAACCTGAACTCTAAACAAGCCACCAGTTGGTTAAGGAGGAAATGCRCTGCAAATTTACCTTTCAAGAAAYGCATTGGGGRGAAGATGAAACTRTWATTCTGAAATTTAATAACAGATTTWCTTTTCTGGTTTAAACCTGGCTTTAAATTATGTTTTATTTCCAAGTGATTTTCACAAGAACAAGGTGAGATGCATCTAGCTTATTACATATTTACACAACAGGTSCATGAACAGCTCTTTTTAACTTTAGTTAGGAGAGTCTAAATATTTCTTGCTTTGCATTTGATACCTTTATAGGATCAACTCTGAGATGCCCTATAATAAAAAGAGGTCAATGAAAATGGATTTGGAGGAAAACAGCAAATTCTAAAGAAACAAAAAGTAAACACAAGGGATATGAATACAATACCAGTGAAGTATTTGCAGTCATGAGTAAAATTGATTCAGGGAACAGGATTAGGKTGTTCTTTTTCTTCTGACTTAAACAGTGACCATAAAACATTAACTAGACTCCCAGTGAACTATTTTCCACCTCCTTRAAGGATGCAGGTTCTTTTAGCACAAATGCAAAACAAAATATTAATATATCTGTAAAATACTATTTCCTAAGCCATAATGGTTAATCCTAATAAAGGCCCACCCTTCARGTTACAGTGAAGAAAAAGTTCACATTTCCCAGTAGTCTGACTAAAGTGCTTTTTAACATGCTCCTACTTTTCTCCCCACCCCAAAGTCTTAGACTACAGAAAAGCAAACCCAAGACAGTCAGATCTGATTGAAATCCTAYCCCCTAAGCTGCCAAGATCCTTAAATATAAGTATCTGTGCTTTGAGYAACTCTCCTCTACCTCACTGTGCCTAGTCATTGTGCAAAGGTACATAATGATCCTGATTAAACTTGTCTTCTGGAAATTCATCATTCTTCCCGCTCTGCACTTTAATTTGTGCCTCTCTGATAACATTTGAAGTCAAGTATTGACATCCCTGACTGAACAAACATCTTACATCAGGTAGCATCCTGGTTTGCACACCTATGGAATCCTTTTTCTTGGAAACCATGTTTAAACAGCCAGTCATTCACAGCCAGTTCTGTCTAGGTGTTTATTCTTTCTTTCAGTTTAAATTAATTTACTTTCTAAATAGAAACATCCATTCCAGTTCAATGTCAAGGTGCAAAGGTATCTTACTTCCTCTCTGCTGCTGAGAAATGGAAGCAATTGTGATCTAAGGAAAATCAACAATGAAACAAACAAAAAATGAAAAAGTCTATAATACTACAGGCAAAGAAGAACCAAACAGGCAGCAGCAAGCATGCTGATGTCCTAGCAAGTGAAATGATATGTCTTCCACTGCACATTATAACAACTTAGTATAACAAGTTTTAGCTTTTAGCTATAAATTCAATCTTTCAAGACCACAAAATACATTAATCATTATGAATTTGGCAGGAGTAGCTGAAATTCAAACACAAAAAATAGCAAGTGACCAGAAAGCTATGAAAAGCAAAGCAACAAAAAGCAGAAAGAATATTAGCACCAGATCCTCTTAACTTCCCTTTGCTCCCTGCTCCTCCAGTGAACTGGAACAACCTCCACAGGARCAGATCTGGGACCTGGACAAACACCATTCCAGGTTAAAGCCTGGAGTGACAGGASAAGGGGGAATGACTTCACACCAAGAGAGAGTAGGTTTATGTATTAGGAAGAAATTCTTCCCTGAGGGGATGAGACACTAGAACAGGTTGCCCTGACAAGCTGTGGATGCCCCATCCCTGGAAGTGCTCAAGGCCAGGYTGGATGGGGCTTGGAGCAACCCAGGATAGTGGAAGGTGTYGCTGCCCATGGCARGGGCTGGAACAAAATCATCCTTAGGGTCCCTTCCAACCCAAGCCATTCTTAGAACACACTTAGAACAAAATCAGAGATATAATTATTTGTGTTAAGAAAGAGTTCTAAGGCTACAGAGAACTCAGTAAGTTTCTGTCTAGAGACAGGAAGAGATTACAAGTAGTTGGATGTGCGAAGATTTTTATACCTGTATGGGTTGAAATTCAGTTTACCACATGAATTAGAAAACAAAACARAAGTTTAAACCTAGAAGATTGAGTCTGATGTAGAACAAGAGAAAACCATGGTACAGCAACACATCTGCATCCTTTAGGATAATGATTTAAAAAGACTTATTGTGCTGTTGAAATAAAAGCGACTGTCTTTTGGTTTCAAAAATGGTTAGTTACCAATCTGCAGTGTGCAGCAATGAGCACGTAGCAGRGCTATTCATAGACAGAAAGATGCAGTCACAAACACACAAACATGCTGCCCAGCACGGGCTGCCAAGCTTTTGCTGATGTCCTCCCCCATCATTCTGAACAGCCATTTCTACCAATACTTAACAGTGCAACCACACTTGAAACCCTGTAACTGAGTGACTTTTTCGTTTGCAACATTTCTCTAAACACACTTAGAAAATTTTGGGAAAATATGGTATTTTAATGCCACTTCCTAAACGAAATTTTGCAATGATCACTCTTCCAACAGTTTTTAAATAAAAGTTTATTACAGAAATGATTTTGAACAAAAAAAGACAACAGTATCTCTTGTAATTAAAAAAAAAAAGTAACATTGTATTCATGCCCTAGAAGGTGAACTGAAGAAATGCTACAGGTATTTCTTCCACTGTCATTCTGTGACGCTTTCTAGTATGGATTAACTCACATCTGCATCACWTTGAATGTGATCAGTCTCTTTCCATGCTTTTCTCCAGAAAGTGCTGCATATTAACAGAAAATATTGCAGACAAACCACAGGTCTATTCATTCTGCAGTATTGGAACCAGTGTCTAGGAAAGAAAAAAGAAAGTGAGACTAATACACACCCCCACTTAAAACAGAGAACCAAGAGCATTCTTATACCTCCACCAAGATCAAAAGCATTCCCCATGCATTTTAGAACATGTTCTGTACCTTCCCAATTCCCTCCACTGCTCTCAATGTCATGCATGRACTGCTTGTGCTGTTTCACTTAGCAACACTGAAAAGAGCCAGCACAAAACTCCAGGGTTGTGCACACAGAGGCATTAAAATACTAAAAGTTTTGCTCTAACATGTAGTGACACACAAACCCTTTACTGCAGTAAGCCACAAGAATATCTGGMTGTCTACTAAAGAGAAGGGCTTTTGCACAGCCAGCAGCATAAGCTCTGATGGAGTGTGGGCTAYAGCTTATTATGCATTTTGAAACAGATGCAAGAAGGAGCATGATCTTCATAAAGCAACTGAGAGCAATTCTCTGTTTTGAACTTTTGGCAGAATCACCAGTTAACACCAGTTCAGCTTTTGATACACTACCATTACTGCTTTCTTGTTTTTAGAGCTGTGGAAAAAGTATGTAACTCAAATATATAACTCAAATGACAAGCCAGTGTTTACTGTTGTTCCTTCAACAGGTCAACTTCTCGTGGGAAAAAAAAAAAGGTTGTAATGCTAATAGCAACTTCAAATCAGCCAGTTGCTTAAATCTTATCTGCACAATTTATCAAGAATGAAAACGATTAATACTTGGAAAGTAAGATTTCCTCCACTAGCTATAATAAGCACACAAAAAACAAGCAGTAAGATTATATGCTTGGCTAATACCAGAAGTTGAGCAAACAATAAATTCTGTCAACTCTTTAGAACTACAACTTGAAGTGACTATTGTAATCGTGCCAGGATCAGGAAGCCATGAAGAACCTGTTTCAGAGTCTATAGAGCATTTAAATRAAGCCTTTTCCATTCTCAGTTCTTCCTTTTAGCATCACTCTCCAAGGATGAAACAAGTGACACCATTTCACACAGCTTTAGCAATACCCTGCCACACTGATGGTTTTAAAAAGTTATATAAAGCAGATTGCCACAAAAGTCACTGAATAACTTTTTCCAGGAAAGAATMTCAAGGAACATGGACAAAAGTAATCCAGTCAAGCACATATGGATTGTAAACTCCCACAAGCAGTGTACATACAGAGGGTCTGTTAGGCAACAAGTAAGTCTTATGACTTGCAAATACAAGCATAAGCTGTTCATGGGCTTCTRTCCCCAACTATCACTTCTCACACAATTCCTTGCTCAGACTGCTGAAGCACTCTTCTGATTCAGTAAAACATGGTGCTATCCTAACAAACAGGTTAACACTAGAAAACTCACCTCACAAACAATAAAGATTACTTCTGAGTTTGTAATAGCTCTAGTATTGTGTACTTCCCAACGACAGGTGCAGAGCAGTCCCTAGCATGGTTCTACCTCAGTGCTTATGAGTCARAGAAGCATTTAGCTGCCTTTTGTTTCATCCCTCATCAGATGTAAAAGGGAATGCAGAGCCCTACTTCTGTCTGAGTAATACAATCAATGTATCTTTAGTAAAACATTTGGTCAAAGCTTTCTAAAAACTATCAAGGCTCATGTCTCAGCCTGTTTATATCATATTTCATACTTACTTTTTCCATCACATGCTACAATTTTCACTTTATCCACTTTCACAAGTTCAGTGACCTCCCTAAATTCCACATCATTGAGTACAAATGTCCATACGTTGTCACAGAACCTGTATGTGTTCAGAGACCCCTGTAAAAAGACAAGAGACATCTTCTATAGGATGCATCTCAAAAGCTACAGAAAATGTGATGAGCATCTACTGAACTATGTCCCTTTYAGAACAAGATTTGCCACAAAGCCAACAGTGGACCTGAATGCGAACAAACTGGCAAGTAAGCAGTTCTGAGGAAAAGTGGAGTTTAAATGCCCTCCAGTGGCTGAAATTTTCAAGACCATGYGGTGACATTACAGGATATCCAATGGGAGGTTCCACAGGTAGGCTAAGAAGCTTTACAATTTTTCTAGTGTGTACAAAGGATCAGYAGCAGAAAACATTTCTGAAAGTATTGGGCCATAAAAAAAATCAGCTACAGCAGTSATATGAATACTGCAATTGCTTAAACAAAGTGGTAACTTAAATAAAAAATCATTACAAAACTGAAATCGGACATAAAGGGGTATCCCTCCTATCTGATATATTACCGAGAATGTCAATATGGAAAACTTTTGGCCTTCAGTTTTACATATTTTAAATTGATATTCTTGAACTAAGCCCCAATTTACATTTTTTTAATTTATGTACCAAACACATGCTAAACTGTTTTCTACACCATGCCACATATATAAAACAAGTTAAGTGTGCTAGAGAAATTATGCTATGTTTAACATCACTACATTGTTTAAAAATCTAACATCTTAGGAGCCCAATCATTAATGTGTTCTACATACTGTAGGGAAGTAGTATGAAAAAAGTTAACAGGAAGCTGGGTTTTGTGGTTTTTTAACTTAACATCACRTTCAAATTGACATTTAACAACTTCCTGGCTATCTAACATCAATTAGGGTGGCTGACTGGGAACCCCTCCCAACTTATTTTTCTATAATACCTACAGAAAATAGCTACAAAATGATCCAGTGAAAGGGCAGGTCTAAAACTCTCTAGTCTCTCTTCACATTACTGATGTGGCTGAAAATCTGGCCTCATCTCACTTTTGCTAGGGACAGCTGCGAGAAGCAAAAGTCTCCCTCCTCATCTGCAAGACACTGAGGATGGCAATGTTATCCATCAAAAAAAGCATTTCCCTCTTCCCTGTTTTCATCATCTGATTTTTGTATTCATTCAGAAGATCCCTGGCAGAACAAGGTATCAAGACTTACAACTAYATAGAGAATATACATGCAAACAGTCATTATTACAGAGTCAAAATGGACCTTYTTAAGTCCTGGCTTAGGGCACACAGCTTTTAATGACATTCTGCATCAAAACTTAGTAGCTGTATCTCATGTAAAACTTTTCGATATCATTTCCTTACCCTGAAATTGACTCTGTTCCTGACTCGCTGCGCCAATGCTGAATTTATAGCTTTATCAAACTGAAGTAGCACCTGAAGGGCCAACTGAGGTGTGATTTGCTGTGACTAAAGTAGTTTGGGAAAAAAAAAAAAGTTACAGTTGTTTCAAAGGAAGCTCAAACACACAAAAACATCAAAGTTCACATGAAGCAGATCTCTAGATGAACAATCTAGAGAAACATTATGTTCCTGTGTTTACTTCAATTTTTGTATTTCAATTCTGTGCTACACAGTGATCGCTTAATAATTAATATTTACAGGAAATAACCAGAAGAGCAACAAATTGACTACAATGTTCCAGCTTAATCTGGCTGTTCATGGGTCCACGTGAGATTATGTCACTTACATGACACACTTTCCTTCACCCAAAATGTAAAGAAAAATACATCACAAGTGAGTGTAGTACCAAACGCTTATGATTCCAATCAGTAAGTTTTCCAAACCCTGGCTATAAGTACCTCGATACAGGAACCACAAAGCCGTTTAGATAAAAACTGACATTTTGATTAAAGCACTGGCCCAGAGCGCAGCCCTCCCCACCTGTATGAGCTCATCCAGACTCTCCTGAAGGCTGTTCCCCAGCGTGGTGTTCCTGTACAGCTGATACGCCATGGTTYACTGGGAGGGCCGGACACGTCCCGSKCATCCACGGCTGCGAGCCTGTGCTGTCCTTGCTCTCACTGAAAACAAAGGAAGATMACAATAAAACCCTCCACGCCCCACAGCCAAGCACGACAGGCACATGCACAGCACCCACAGTGTAAGAGGCCGCCCCGCCAACACCGCCCGACCCTCGGGAGCTCTCCCGGCGGCGGGGCAGAGCCGCACAAGCGGCAGCCCGGCCCGGCTCCGGGCTCGCCCGCTCGGTTCAGGGAGCCMTCCCGGCYCCGRYCCCGGCCCCTGCACACCCCCGGCCCACAGGGAAAGGATCCCGGCCCCGCCGCCCCCGGCCCGGCGCTGCCATGCCCCCTCACCGCGCGCGGCCGGAAGCTTGGCCCCTGTCGGCCGCCGTGGCCCGGAAGCGGAACGGCCGCGGGCCCGCAGCGAGCAGCGCCAGCAGCGCCCCGCCCCAATCAAACACTCGAGCGCGGACAAAGCGTTCATTGACACAGCGGCGCTTTTCCCCAGGGAAAAACACCCCGTTAGCAACAACCGCTAGCACATTCACACACGTGTTTATCACATTGCCCCGTCACACGCTGAACACAGGAAACACGCTCATCTAAAAAGGACGGACCACAATATTATTAAGAGGTAGGTGAAGAGTCTTCTACTTGCATTYTTTCTGTTAAAGGAGCAAAGAAAAATAGCCACATCTGTGAAGAGTGTGAGTAGCCAAATGAATCCAGTTGTGTCATCCCCGATGCACAAACTATGCATCACTGCAGCTTCATTCTGTTAAATACTGCACCAGGCACTTCACACTGACAATGTAATCCTTCTGTCTTAACCCTTCMATCTACCATTCAACCATTACGGCTCAGGCCTTTCCCGGCAATAAAAGGATTTTGTCAGATGACTAAGAAACATTGCAGAACTGCAGAGCCCCTGGCAAACTAACCATCTGTCCACCATGAATATTTATTTGTAGTTATTAATCTGGAAATCTGTATTAGAAATGTAAACTAGCAGCTGAGCAAGCTAGAGTAAAAAACACGGTAAGATGTTTTGGAAAACATTCTGATAGCTTCTCTTCAGATAATTTTCAGTACTAAAAAAGAAGTTCATTTAACTCAGAGTAATCCAGGCAGTTCAAACTGGAAAAGTGAAAAAAAATCTAGTGAAAAAGTGAAAAAAAGAATGGCTTTAATTTTACTGATCTCAGTCATGCTTGAAGGATGAAAAACAAGACTGCACCCTCTTCACAAATGCCCTTTTTCTGTTCATTGAATATGGGTAACGAGATGTGATAAAAGAAAGTGTATTTCAACTTAGAATTTAGAAGCTAGGAAAGCTGATAGATACATATTTCAGAATATGAACATTTAAATATTCCTTATATTTCAGAGTAGTACTATGACTAAAACCAGTCCTTACAAAGTATAATTACAGCATGTCCTTAAAAAGTATTAATTTAAACACATGTTTCAAGTGTCTCTGACAAGCAGTCAGTGAAACAAATCCTCTACAGAATGACCTGCATTCACAAGGACTGAGCTATGATTTTCACTGCAAGATTTATAAGACTTCTGTGCTTACAAAAAGCACACAAGCTGATATCCCTCTCCTCTCTGTTCCCCCATATGAGATTTTTCTCATGGAGACTGGAATGACTTGAGAGTTAAAAGTCATCTCCAAAGACAACAGGTTTTAAGAAGATATTAGTTTAAATCATCTTTCTAGATAGCAAAAATACCATCTAGAAAATAGAAAAATACAGGTATAAACCTGTAGGATATTCTGACAAAAATCTGACACTGAAATAAATAAGCTTTGCACCAAGGAACTTTATACTTCGTGACAGATGTAGTTTAGAAAGTGCCTATTCCCAATGTAATTGCATTATTTTCAGTTAAGTACACACATTTCTGCAGCCAGCATCARTGAGGCTGACAYGACCAGGCACCAATGACACAGTTCYAGGTCATTCCATAGGAGATTCCATTACCATCACATGTAATCTAACACTGAAGTCTGACACAAACTAACTGCTGAAAGATTTACCCTGTCATTAGAGCATTAGGGGTGTGATGCAACAGAAGTGCTGAAACAACCTAACAGACACAGCCTGTAATATCCTAGTTGAGTGCAATTCAGAGTGTGGCTGCTGTCTCTCAGTGCCATGTTCTTCACAGAAATTAGGAATGTTCTWCACTTGTTTACTTAAAGGGAAAAATATGCCAAACTGCATTGTTATCAAGARGGGTATGTATAATTCTAACTAGTTCTTTTTGGAATAAAAGTTCTCCATTTCAACATCCCASAACCTCAAAAGACTTCAGTCTGCTTCTGCACTAAATCCTTACAACACATCCCTTCCCATTACCTTCCAACAGAACATGTCTGTGCCTTACTACACAGATCAAGAACATTCAAGCAAATCCAGAGTCTACTCACATCAGTTTTTAATSACACTTTCTCCAGAATCTCTTGGCACTTCTGAATTTACCCTCTTGCAGAAATCAGTTTACAAAATGTCACATAGAGGCCACTGGCCCAAACATCTCTATTTCAGTCATGTATAGCAATAATGAGATAGGTAATGACTTATTTCTACACACATAAATATATATGTAAACTAAGGAGACCTCCAAATCAAAGGTAAATTAGTGACTCAATAAATTTTTTCACAGAGCTCACCAAGTTCTAGCAAAATAACTCTTACTTTTAGAAGGAAGTGCCATTGAAAAGTGAATTCCCTACAATACTGTATCTTATCACAAAGTGATTCAAGTTTTGAAATAATTTTTATTGAAGTATAACATTCCAACTTTTCATGTTTTTAAATATTAAAATATATTACACTCTATTATAATTTCAAAAAAAGTTAAGTTTGACAAAACATTACCCACAGCTTTGGGACCACTTTGCTTTTTGTAAACATCCACCTCACCATTAAATGATGAGCTGCAAGAAGTCAGAGTGGAATAATCCTTTAGTACACTTCTTTCTCAAGCTGCATATCTTTAGAGACAGAACTGTGCTGTRTACTCACTCACAACGACTTATACTAGAGAAATAAACCATTTGTAAGCACATACACATTTCCAAAAGAAAACATACTACTGCAGCATGAAACTGTAGAATCCTTGGCCACCAGGAAATACAGCAACAATCCCATCATTTAGTAAATATGGCATATACAGAGGACTGGCTACTCTGTACTGCACTATCCACACAGGAAGCAACAGGACATARAGAACTAGAATCCCTCCACTAAGARTAAAATTTTACTGAGAATAATCCTCTTATCAATTAGGAAAAGATGGAAATGAGATAATCTGAATGCTTCCTGTTTAGCTTAGGATACAATGCAAACCCAGTAAAAATCAGGTTTGCATGGTCTTACACAACACACTGTGAAAGTATCAGAAGTAAAGGCTGAAAGTGCCCCATGTACTGACTTGAACTTTGTAATTATCTCAGTCAACACCAAAACTGAAGCAGGAAATAAGACAGCCCCAAAAAAGTGCATTTTGTTCTGCTTTCAGAGCAAGATCCAAACCTGATGGATGGATGCAAGGCAACACTGTTGTGTGAATACATCCTGCACATCAATCTCCTTGAAGCTCTGGCACAGAACTACTGCAACAAAAGGACTTAGATCTTGAGATGAAAGTATCTGAACTGCAGACTTAAACTTCTAGAGACATGAGCCATTTTCCCTCACCTGACATCCTTATGCTCTCAACATCTATACAGGTATCACTGGAGACAGTGGATTAATTGTTACTTGGTAAGTCTTCACCATGGAATCTCTCACAACTGTTATTTATCAGTGTCAGGTAGTAATCTGGTTGAACATAACTTTTTTTAATAAGGTAGCTGAATAATATTAAATATAGTTAAGAAATTATATTTTTTGGCATTAAGACAAAATTGTGAGCACAATAAACACCAAAAGCAAAGATTTAATATACTTGCTACAACATTATATTGCTCAACTCCTGAATGAATTTATTTGCACATACCTGCCCTTACATGGAAATTGCAATGTTTATCAGAAGATGTTACAAACTTTTACAACATATCAACCAGTGCATTGCTGTTGTCTCAGTAAACCTCTAAACACTAATTGTGTGTCCAAAAATACCTCTTACAGACACAGGCTTACGACCATTGCAGGGAGCGAGACACACCCCAACCTTTAAAACACTTTTGAAAAGTTTTATTAGTGCTGGTATCATGTGTCTAACTAAGAGCTTTATAAATGGATGTTTCACCTACAAGGATGACAAAGGAAGCCTAAGACTTCTTGTATTTCTGCCCAAAAAATGGTATTGTGGCTAGAACACCTGTGTAACTCCCAAGTTCTACTGAGCATGACCAGAATTCCTACTAGTAACAGCCAAGATACATCCATGGAGAACTGCAATGAACTCATTTCCTACTGCTAGCTGAGACAGTCTTGACATAGTGAAGCAACTTCAATGAAAAAGGTCTGGTATCTTATCAGTCAGACAGTTCAACTATTGTGGCTTAGGTTTAAACCTCRTGGCCAACAAATGACATCCACAGAACTGCAGTTCTGCATCCTGAACAATGGACTGAAAGCCACCAAAGTTGAAGCTTACTCTAGTGAGGTAAAGGAGTGAACCTGTATTAGGTATGTGAACAAAAACAAGGATCTCTACATTTGTGAAAGCTGAGTTAATGTAATTGTTAATATCCAAACAATTTTTCATGACAATGAAGAAATGCACTTGACCATTTATAGCAAAACAGATTTATACAATAACAACAAGTAACTTATGGCCTTGTCCACCTGCAAATGAATTCCTTCAGCAGGTACACACAATATATTGCTCAGTCATAAAAAATATATATATTATCTCTTTCCTTTAACATTTAGGTATATAAATATTTTACTGAAGAACATGCATCATTTAGATAAACAGTTGCAAGAACATCCCCTGAAAACATAGGGTTCTTGCCATTTAGCAGTATAAACGATTACATAAACAGCAATTAAAGTCAAGACAAACCAATACAGCAGTAAGCAGTTCATTGTGTGCTACTCCAAAGCACCTTTTGCAACAGATAATATAATACATACACACARAGAATGCATTGTAATGGAGCACAAACAGCATCGTTCCATCTGCATATTCTTCAGTCTTGTTTGGGCTCCAAACTTACTGTTCACTTTTCTGCTCTTGTTTTCCATTCAGCTCTTGGTCAACTCTGCTTAGCAAAGAAAGCAGTAAAATTAAACTACGTTAGCATAGTTTGATAGCTCACATATTAAGAAAAAACTATTAACCTTAACAGGAAAACACAAAGCTTTTACATGAGGAAAGTTTTAGTAAATAAATAYTAAATTAAGGGTTTTATTTAATGTAGTCATGGTGTTTGGGTTTTTTCTCTATTTATTTTCCTACCCGCCCCAGGAATTAATTAAAATTGTTAGGAAACCATTTAAATAACTACAGCACTYGAGAGGAAACATTTAAAAAGTGCCAGTGAAGTTTGACTGCAGWAGAAAAAAGCAGGGCCTGTGCTCGTAGTAACAATGCAAGCAGGAATACAAGCTTACAGGTAACATGACAATCCTGGCAAGCACTACCACTCTGATGAATTCATACACTGCAGAATAAGCACTGAATTACCTTTAATGTTACAGTAATTAAAACAAGAAGGTAACAGCACTGGTTCTGTCAACAAAAGTGAAGAGGCTCCTTAACTGCAATACTTCGTCCATTACATTCTAAGACTCTTAGAATTACCCTGGAAAAGTTCACYATCATCCTAATAAAAGTGGGTTTGATTTTGTGCCTTATTTTTTAATATCTGCCTTGGGACCAGCAAACAAAATTCTGCTTTGCAGAAACCAGCAGATGATTGACAGCCCTGCACAAAATGGACTTTTCCTCTTTACAGTAAGAGCAAGCTACAATCTTGATAGCATCTTCTAGCAAGTAAGTTGTGCATGGAGATAAATTAATTTTAAGTTGTGAAAATTAAATTTTAGAAGTTCTAAAGCGAGAGTCTAAGACCAAGTTTGTCCTTTAATGATCTGTCTAACATACCTGTCCAGTCTCTCAAATATAACCAGCCAGTTTTTCAAAATAACAGAAACAGTGACAGCTCCTTTAGGCCATGAATCCATAAAAAGGGGAGGCAAGATTTTGGTTTTTTTTTTTCTTTCTTTTCCTCATTCTTGCAGCTGTAAGATCTGAACTGAGTATGTAATGGCCTGATATGTCTGAAACACTGAGGTCTAGAAGCAGCATCCTTATTGTGGGTTTGTTCAGCAGCACAGTGCACAGGGGCCCTGCAGCTGCACTCATCCCTGCCCTCCTGCACTGCCTCACCAAAGCACCTTTCTKGACCTGACTGGCAGGAGCAGTCAGAGTGGGACTCTGTACCTAATTTTCACTGAGGAACACAGTACTTTTTACAGAAGTGACAGCTGAAGATATCAACGGGGACACTAGAAAATGTTTAAAATCTCCAGTAGAATAAGCACTATCACTTAATTGGAATAATTCCTAAAGAATGYTCAACACATCCCTAGATTCACATGTGAGCTTTCAGAAATAATTYGAATTCCTTTTACTTCAATCTCAGTGTTCCTCTACCCAATTTAGACCAYAGGCCTCCCATAATAGTTATGCATACAAAAGAGAAGTAATTAAAAAAAACCAAAATTAGTAGCAAAATTTTTCAGTACATTTGTTAGTGAGTGAAAAAATAACATATCCATTCAAAAAAATTCATCCRTTGTGGAATAGCTTGAATAGTTAGCAGGAGACTGGAAATTAACAACATGGAAATCCAGTATTTATTAGCAAGGAACATAGGCACTGCAAATACAAACAGCACTAAAATATTAATTTAGATTGCATCTGTGCAAGTTAATAACTAAAAAGSTAGTGAGCACCAATAAAAATAAGATTCAATATTAGAACTTCTTACAGAGTTGCATCTCTGCTAATGCATAGCTACAGCTTAGCATCTAAATAAAGCTCATCTTCAGATACCAATTCCTGTTAGAAACAGTGAAATTTGATTTAATGGGTTCACACAGAAGCACTGCTTTTGCCTCTTAAAGACTTTAAGTTGAGAACCCATGTATCCCCTTAAAAGAGWGCACCTCACATAATAGTGTACTAAAACTATTCACAAATACCTGTCTGAAGACCCAGGGTGAGTTCTTATTAATTCCATACTGCCTGCAAGTACAGTATAGTTACTGTCATGCATAAAAGCTTGGGCTCTAGTGCATGTTTATATTTACAAATCCTTATTCCTTTATGCAAGCCAATTAACTGGGAGTTAGTTGCAGTGCAAATTGTCTTATCTAGATGCAACCCTAATCAAAATATGAATATACCTTTTCTGTTTCTTTCTAAACTTTTCTTCTTCATACCTTGGTGAGGAAAAGTTTTATTTCAGTAAATGTAACATATCAAGGCCAAAATCAACAGAAGCTGAAAACCAGTATTAGTGTCAATACATCTGCAGAAACTTACCAAATTTGGAAACTGATATAATTCAGAAAAATACATTGTACCTCCAACATTTATTATCATTAAAAAGCTGTAAGATTTAGTTGCTATGACATAACAATCCATTACAACCACTGGTAAAGGTTTAGCATTCATCACTAAAATTTAAAGTCTATATCCATAACTGTTTGAAGCCAGGCATAATCCTCCACAGAAACTGGAGAATTAACTCTGTAAGTTAACCAAGTCCAGCCTTTGCAGAACAGTTAAAAGTTCATCAATACAGAGAGGAGTCTTTTAAACCTTGGAATGACAGTTTGAATATTCATAACACATCCATAAAACCCCAGTCAAAAAATTCTAAAGACAGCACAAAGCTGCCTCAGCTGTCACATCTTTCACCCCCATCCCAAGAAAACCGTTTATCTTCACAGAGTTAAACTGTGGCACTGATAGCAGCTGGATGTTTACTGAAACCACCAGCCATCTATGGGGGGCACGAGGATTTATCCAACATCCATGTGTCCTTCTGTGTGCACAGCTGGGCCATCTACCCCAGTTTGTGCTCACCTATTACAACAGAGCCAACGTGATTTGTGTGTTATACGCTCTAATAGGATGAGCAATTTGTCATCAGAATTGTTAGTGTTTTCATCCATTTTTTTTAAGACCCAAGTTTATGGTTTCTACTCTATTACTGAGTACACACAATGAGGAGTACATCCACAAATGCTTTTGACAAAAGGATCATGATCACATTTGAGAACAGAATTGTGCTGATGTTAAAATGAATATTTGTATCTGGATGGGAAGGAAAGAAAACTACATTGATGCTGTTTTCATTTCTTTACCAAAGTAGCTTAGAAGTGTAATGGRTAGGGATTCAGCATTTTCCCATCACTGTTTTTTTTTCAAATGAAAACCCAATCCAAGTGATATTTCAGCACTTAACTTGTTCCACATTTTAATAAAAACACTGAAATAATTGCAAATAATTTAAGTATGAACATGCCCAGAATTTCTCAGTCACAAGCCAGTTTAGTATACACACTAAGGTGCAGAACAACTGGAATGAGACCTTCTCTCCAGAAGGCTTAATTYACACACCACAACCCAGTAATTGCACAAAGCTCCACTGTGAAGATCACTATACATTAACATTTTGACTATCCATGCTACTCCATACCAAACTGCCTTTGGCAATGAGGTCAAACACGGACACTCCTCCTAGAGACAGCAATGATCTCAGTTGAAGTCATTAAATGCCAAGTGTTACACTCAAACCAAACCAGTCCTAAACCATGATCAATGTAGAAGATGTTGGAATAGTAAAACGTACTGTTTTATGCATTCTGGGATGCCAACGTATTCCATGGGGATGAGTTCAGCTAGTTCTGCCAGGGTAAAGACATACCTAATTTTTTGGCTGAATTTTGAGCTGTGGAAGAACAAATGCAGGGTACAGTTACAACYTGAATGTTTTTCACTAGGTCAATATTAAAACAGTCTTTTAAGTTCAAAGCAAACAGTTGTAAAAATGATTTAAGAAAAAACTTCTGGAGTATTACCTAATAAAAGGCTTTGTGATGGCCAGGAGTGTTCTGATGAACCAGGAAGGATGAACTATGATCAGTGATTTCAGATTTTTCCTTAATCTGAAAGATTTAAACCATGGACACAATTACTAGACAAAAAGGCAGCATGACAAGGRGGTTTTGAATATATAAGAAGTATGATTTTAGAAGCACAAGTACATAAACATAGTATTCTGACATCGCATTATTAGAAGTCAACCTCTATCAGAAGAAAAATACTACACAACTGTAAAATCAAAAGTTACGATTCAGTATAAATTAGACAAGGAAATAACATTCCAAGGAGAAGCTTCTTTGAATCTTTTCACACAACTAATGATGAAGTGGATAAAAGTATTCAGTATTCCAAGAATACTATTTTCACTAAAAACAGACCCTGAGAACAATAGTAACAAAAGGCATACACAAAACCCCCAACCAACCAAAAAAATCCACCACACAACACTACCCAAGCATGTTTGTAGCATCATCCCACATTGTCCAGTTTACAAAGAGGTTTTCAATACACCAATTTCCCTCATCAAATCTTAACCAGAAGGGACCAGACACCACATTAAACAGCTGTTTTTCCTAAATATGTCTATCTCTGAAGAAAACACTGMAGAACTTCTTACCTTCTATCAATTTGCTGGTAACATTTCCTAAGCCAGCCTAAACTTGGCATTTTTCTCCGTGTTGTTGCACCATTCAGGTAAACAATCATATAGTTTTCTGCTACTAACAGCTCTAAAGTGCCAATTACATACCTGGAGAGACAAGCAAAGAAAACTTTAATATCCACAGTCTTCATTCAAAAGTAATTCCTAGAAGTGATCAAATATATTAAAGTAACAAAGAAGCAGAAAAGCAGATGATGACTTACTTAAATAGATTGTCCATTAGGTATCTGTAGTTAGGCTGGCTGCTCTCAGGCATGAAGCAAACAGCAAACACAACAATGGCATTTAACCCATCACCATAATAACCTAAAAACAAAGAAATAAACAGCAGTAGTGACAAAGGTGACAAWACACTGACTCCATTTACACGAAGTCAAGCACATTAACTAAGCCTTTTCATTAATTACCTCAAAGATTTACAAACATCCACACGGACACATTCATACAGGTAGAGAAAACCTCAAGCTTTCTTTTCCAAGTTTGTCTACTTCTAAAGCAGCAGCTGAAGCTGATGTCAATCAAACACTGTACCTATAACTAACATTTCAGTATAGAACCTCAGTATATTTAATAACCTCTTGTTATTAAAGTTTAGTCAACTTTTCTTCCAGAATAAACTTTACAGACTGTTGGAAGGAGTCATGAATTGATTTCTGCATTAGTAGATCTATGCTTTCAACACTCTTAAAACCAAAAAATTAGATAGCACTGACACTGCAGGAAAAGGTAAATACATCTTATTAGATAGGTACATTTTAGTACATGTGACCAAGTGTACTAAATTTGGAAAATTCAGTTTGATAGAGAAAAAATTATTACATCAACCGTGTCTTAACAGTGCAACAAAGGAATCACCACAAGTCTCTATGCCCAAAGCTCTTCCTCTGCCTCCCCAACTCAGTTTAAAGAAGTAGTTGCTCCACAGTTCCCCATAGCATGTCAGCAGTCCTTACCACCATGACTGATAACTTTTTTATATGGTTCGATTGCCTTCATGTCCACCCTATGGTCCTGTTCTCCAATCCTAAACATTCGCCAGCGTCGCCCATCGTCCTTCTCCTCTGCCACAGAGTATTCAGCCAGTGATCCTTTCCTAATGACATCAGTAGTTTTTGGTTTTGGAAGATCATCTGCCAAAATYAGAACATGTTAAAGACCCATTATGAATACCATGCATAGTGACAATCAGTTACAACACAAGTTAACCACTTTGCTATCTGAYCTATTTTGGTATTCTTCAGCCAGTCACACACACCAGTTGATGTCCTGGATATTTTATCAACATATTCATGTTGGCAGTTATCTGTTGACTGGAATTTTCTCTATTACAATATGTGAAAAATTTCCATTTATGGAGGAAGCCTAATTAATTGTAGGCTTTCAGATCACAGACTTCAATGAATTTCACCAAAATAGACAAAGTGGTTAACTTCAATGAGAATTAGAGATTGCTTGATCACAGATTTACATGAAGCATGATTTAAAACATTGAGGTACCTTGCAAGCAGACATGCAGGCAAATCTAGTGAAAATTAAATCTAATTCACATGTGTGCAATCAAAATATATGAAATTTATGCTGACAGCAATCTGTAGGACAATTTGCTCCAAAGAAATTATGATTCTTGACTTTGTTGCATGGACCTTACCAAAAGCGAGAAAAATCTACTGCAAGTTAGTTGTCTGTTCCCAAGACAAAGCTGTTAATTGAAACTATCCTTCCAGGAAAATGAAGGCAGCAGCATTAAAGGAAGAAAAGACAGAAACCCTTTTCAGCCACTTTTAAAAACAAGAYACAAACATGCAGAACATTTCCTTTKCATCATTGCAAAACTAACCCTAAATACCAACTCTTCTCCATTAAAACAATGAAAATCCTTTTACAAAAGTAAACACACAGTCTCTGTTAAGAAATCTTCACCTGCAATATGCCTTTAGCAATTTAAAAAAACAAATGTATTCTCTTATTTTAAAGAGTGTTTCTTCTTCACAGGTAGTGTTTCAAACATAACACTGAAAAGAGAACTTTTTTTAATTCAGGAATTAAAATTATTTTCAGAATAAGAAAATAATAATTGAGTTTACATGTTTACTTGTTACAGATATTGCTAAACCATGAAGTTTTCAGATGTTAGAGACTCCAACAATTTGCCCAATACAACAGCTCTTTGCTTCCATAAAAGGACCTTAAAGCATCCTTAAACTCCAAGTTTAAAATTTGTGCTTTAACTCCTACACAGAACATTTATCTCAAATAAAATTGGTTAGAATTTTCAGATTTTGCCTATAAGATAGAACACCTATTAATGTCTTAAAATTGAGATCATTACTAGTGTGGCTATAGCTAAATTAACTTCCCATGAAGTAATTTCAGAATTCCTTGACACAAAATAGAGGCTCTTCTACTGCTTCCAGTCAATCTGGAAATGTGCAAACTCTAAGGCTACTGAGCTTTTGCCATTCTCACCACAGGAAGATTTGAGATCAGGTGTTGCTTAGTATTTTTAAGAATACCATTCAGTSCTCCTTAAATTCCAATTCATCATGTTCTGAGTAGCTAACCAATATCCCTTTGTTTAGCTCCCTCCATTTAAAACTCATTTCTAACACATGTAAAACACCTTGGRTACTTTTTTCMWWRGGKKGKYCYTWAAAAMYTYCYKRAAAARARRRGRWTTTYCATAACTTCAAGTCTTACAGATGCATATACRGATGATCTTCACCTAAGTTTATCTGCAGTTAGAGCTGTTAACTGTTTGCCTGTTTACTAATSAGATGAGGTTTGATTTGCTCTTTAAGAAGTCCTATTTGACTTCCTATCTGCACCTATTTGAAGGTTCTAAGCTRATCACTCCCTTTGTATTTCTCCTCTTGTAATACTGAGCCACAGTGATTTACTAGAGGAACAGTCAACCTGCACATAAGAAAATATTTTAGAGCATCAGACAAAACGACCAAAATACTCACCTTCCCACTCAAATTCATTGCTGTTTTCTGAAGGAGTATCTAGATCATCCAAATCAATCTCTCCACTCTCATCCAAGTCATCAGACAAAACAGATTCCTCACTGGGATCCAAAGTYAAACTAATGTCTGGAGCCATTAGTTTCTTCCTCAATTTGGTTCCATTGCCTTCTGTATCTAAAGAAAGCAAAATGATTTATTTTCARAGCTCAAGCAAATTTAGGTTAGCCTATTACCAAGACAAAACAGCACAGTTCTTTCTCATAATGCATTATAAATGAATGCCCATAATTTAAACAAGCTATCTTTGGAGTGAGACTTGAACAAGGGACGAAAAGAGTAGCAGGTAAAGGTTCTCAAGTTACCAGCTGCACACACCCACGATGACCAGGGTGGCAGGTAAAGGTTCTGAAGTTACCAACTGCACACAGCCAGGATGACCAGGGTGGCAGGTAAAGGTTCTCAAGTTACCAACTGCACAGTCCCAGGATGACCAGGATGGCAGGTAAAGGTTCTCAAGTTACCAACTGCACAGTCCCAGGATGACCAGGGTGGCAGCCACCAACCACAATCCCAACAGAAGAAAAACCTGAAGAGCTGCCACCACCTCAGACACTACCCCTGCCTGCTGCATCCCAGTGTCCAGGAACAGATATTACACTGAATAAACCTTGCAAATAATACCACTGATTCATGACCCTAGCACTTGTTTTTCTCAGGCTTCGGTAACATCATAACCATCTTTGAGCAACTAGAAAATAATGTACATGTTGAAAAAAAGAGAAAAAATACAAGAGTGAGGACAGAAAATTAAAGAATCTGTTCTGTGAATACATGGAATGCTTCAAGGCACAAAGCAAATCTTTCCATTATCTAGACAGCAGTTGAAAGCYGGGAATAAAATCAGATTACCAATTCAGAAAAGGAAATGCCCCAAAAGTAAAGCAGTCAGACAAAATTAAAAAAGTAAAAAAACCCCAAAAAAACCAACCAAACAAAAAAATAAACCAAAACACTCCCATCCCACCCCAAGGAGGTTTAAAGCAGTCAGCTTGACTGGAGTGGAATGTTCTTACCAGCTTCACTTTCTGTTCCAGCTGCAGCCAAGCTATCAGACTCAACAGGATCATCCTCTGGCAGGGGCCTGGGACACAAAGTAGAAATTACTGTTACAAAACTGCTTTTACTTTTTTTTGATGGCACATATTTACACTTACACCCTGCTAAAAAAAACCCATTGCGGGATAGTACCGAACTAACTTTACTTATAGCCTAAGTTCAAACCTTCAGTAAACAAAACACCAAAGCACCAGAAAATTCCTTTACAGCATTCAGGTGACCATCCCTTCCTGTGACAAATACCAAAACACTGACTACTACCAGTGCGTCATCCTTAAAAAAACTTGTCATATGCTTGCTTGACAAAATTTGACTTCAAATAAATTACAGAAGTAGTTTAGTTATGTWATCATAGAATGCCTCCAAGGTCAGCTAATTTAGTTTCTTTGCARGCCCAAGCACCAGTAGCAGCTTAAGCTGTTAAAGATTTTCCTCAGAAATTTTGCTTAATGAAGTATTTGGGCCATGAGACACTGGCACTAATATGCAAACAATGTAGTTGCAAAATATTATCACTGAAAATAAACAAAGCCAAGCTTACAAATCTTCACTTCAGAAAACACTGGAAACTTCAACAGTGGCAATCCTGAAGAAATATGCCACAAAACCTTTTCAAAACTGCTATATTAATGGAAATCACTTCAYGATTATTACTGAGTATTAGTGCACCAGGTACACAGAAAGGTAGCTTATTGCTGATGTTATGTGTTTGATCTGAATTACTTTAAAAAAGGATTCAAAACCTTGGAAAATCTTCATCTTGCCACTCTTCCTTAAATTCAACCCCTTCCATTCTCCAGCCAACTTGAWTTGCTAACAGAGACTCCTGATCAGCCAGAACCTCTGGTCTTCAGCACAATGGGCTAAAGAGGAGCTGCAGAAACATAACAGAAGATGTTGGTTCAATACTGTGTAATTCCCATACCTGAAACACATCCTTTAAGTAACATCAGATTGAGGGWTTATGCAGAATAAAAACCAAACAACACAGGGAAAAGTTTTTTGTTTGTTTTCATTTTACTTTTTTTTTCCAGACAAAACTGCTTATGGAATGGTTTATAATACAACAATTTAGGTTGGAAAAGATTTCATACAGTTAAGCAGACCTCTCAGTTAAAGTGAAGGCCTTGAGCAACCTGATCTATCATTCATGATTACACCAAAATTCATTCATGATTCACTCCAAAATGTAAGAAACATGACATGTCTCTAGATTCTATAGGAGACAGTAAATAAGTGTGTATTTTGAGGAAAAAAATCCAGATTAATTTTTTTAAATACAACCCACTTAAAAATAAAACCCCCCAAACAATCCAAACACTTTAAAGATAACTGTTTAAGAAAGTGYTTTCAGAGAACTCACCCTGTGATATGCAAGTAAAGCTGTATTTTTTCAGGCTCACCCATCACCAGCAACAAGGAATCCCCAATAATGGRACATGATAAACCATTCTGCTGACATAAAAGTCCAAACCAGCTGAAGCTCTTKGCTGTGTTGGCTCTAAAGATTGGAAAAAACAGGCAAACTTATCAATGAAGTTGTTAAGAAAACCAACACTAATCGAAACAAGAAACCATGGTATTTTGCAAAGAAGCAATCAACACAGAATACCAGAAAGTAAAAAGTTTGAATGCAACCAATACTGTTTCTTAACCCAGAGATATATATTTTTTTTACATGGCTAAAAACAAAATAACAAACACTGTTCTGTAGGATCAGCTTTCCTTCCTTGACAAATCCAAATTTCTCTTCTGACCTGATTTTAAAGGGTCCTGCAATACTTAAAGCTAYGCTATACAAGCTGATTAATAAAGAAAAATTAAGTGATCTTTTTGTGAAACTGCAGTACTACAAATTAAATGGTAATGATCCCAAGCCTGTTTTACTGACATTTCCCTTCTTTCCTCATCCAGAAAATGTAAATTAAATTTCTAGAAGGTAGCAACCTAGWTCCTCTTAAGGGTCAGACTCTCCTTGTTTGAGTCACTCAGCACCTGCACAAGAATTGTCCTCTTCAGCAACGTGAAGAAGCTGCCCCAGCGAGTGCCATCAGCTCCCCCTCCTCCTGTTTGTCCTTCCTGACTAAAGCACTGTTTGGGAACAAGTCCTGCCTCTCACCAAGCCAATGATGCTCTCAGCACACAAGGGATGGATACTCCTGGCTACCAGCCTGCTGACTGCAACAGTGAGTTTTAAATATTTGTTCAGTGAGAAGATGACATTTTAATCAGTAGTAACAACTTCTGATTAAGGAAGATTAAAAGCAATCATTTGCTAAGTACACAAAGGACAACTGAAAACAACTTACAATGCAAGCTTGGAGTTCAACTTCAGATAAGACTGAATTTAGGCTTTCAGCATCCTATTTAACATGGAGGCTAAGTAGCTATTTTGGATGTTTTGACTTCAAGTCTCACCTATAAAAGCACTATTATTTGTCAACTACAAGAAGGAGGAATTAAGAAGGAAGGGYAGTCTTCTCAAAGTTGGAAAAGTGATGACTTTAGAGTTATTTTACACCAACTAATATAAATTCTTTCAAGCAGGCAAAAAAGTATCTACTTCTGTTCATACAGAAAAAAAAAGCTGAGTTTAGAATCGTCTTGCAGTACTGACATCTGATTTTAATATGCTAAAGCCTTTTTAATTCAGCTGTAAATCTAAAATATAAATTTGAAAACTGTATTAAATTGTAATAATGCAAGAATTTATCAGTCACATAGAAGAAAAGGCAAACAATTTCAACCTGATCCTAGCACACTTCATAGCAAACTCAAAAAGTTTGATCTTACTCTCCATTGCTCATTATTTTCCATTTTGCTGAAAGAATTGGAAGTCAGAAACTTCAACACATCACAGAATATCTGGATGCAGGGTTGCCAGGAGGTTCTGCTCTCTCCCTGGAGCCACTGGACTTCGGTACTCCACARTGCCTTTTATATTTTTAAGTATTTCAACAGGCAAGTTATACGGAAAGGGAACACATCACTCAAACCCACTGCTCTTTCACAACAGCTAATGAACAGATTTCCATTCCAGGACAGCAGGTTAAACCTACTTAAGTTTGCATCTGAAGAATATCACTGCTTGCACCAGARGTGAAACACCAGTGTTTTCATCCTTTTTCCTAAAAAAAAGGTAATTTTCAGGGTTCTCTCATAAGTACCAAGCTAGCTTAGCTGGTAAGTTCTGGAACATCAAGTACAACAGTGGTAAGAAGCCTATTAAAAATTGCCCTTTATAAAAATTTACAGTACAGCTAAACAGAGACTCGGGTCTGTCCCAAATACTTAAAAAAAAGGGAATGGTGGCAGGGGGTGTGACTGAAGGATAACAGAGAGCATGACATCATTTTATTCATGAAGTTAAAGGCTGCTTGCAAAAATCATTATTTAGGTTTTCACCTGAGTTCTCAGCAAACACACAAATAAATACAAGTCAGACATTTCCATGGTCACATCTGCCTATCCAATACAAAGACCTACATTCAATCCTTTACCAGCACCTCTGCATTTTAAATAGAAAATTTAACTTTGCAAGACAATTGCCATGTCAGGCATTTTCAGTGGACAATGTACCTGACAGGCAAAGAAAGCTGGTGCAGCTTCAAAAGTCAAAATCAACTTCAAAACAAACTTAGCCTACTTTTTTCCCCCAACATTTCACCCCACTGTGTCAACAGAAACATTAACTGAATGTCAAGTTAATTCCAGGTTCTAGGCATTAAAGAGGTGCTTCTAAGAGTAATTTTCATATTTGATTTTACAACAAGCCAGGTACGCAAACCCMCATGATGCAGCTCACTGCAATTTCTAAATGTTTCCATAATTCCAGTGTTTTTTAGAACGTGGCCAGACTAGCCATAAACCCAGGACCCATTTCCCAAACCTGAAGCTGGACCTCGATACTTTATCACTTGCAAGTTTGCAAAATGAGGCAATGCAAGACCTTTCATCAACAAGTCAATTGTTTGCCTCCTTTTTTTTCCTTCTCTAAGCATGAAAGCATGGAGAAATCAGTTGAGAAAACTTCTGTAAAGACTYTTACTTTCCTATCAAGGATACTACTTTAAACTCTACATCCAGAGCAACAGAAGAGTGTATTTCTGCACCACTCAGATTCATTTAAAGATAARCACTAGTTTCTCAAAACAATCCCAAAGAATTTCTACTCTGCCTAGATGTTCCTTTGTGAGACTTAAAAATGCATACAAGTCCACAGAAATAATCAACCACTCTTTAGTGTATTGCATTGCTAGCAGGAAATCAGGAGGAACTAAGACAAAAGGCACTAGAAAGCAACACTGACTTCCGCGACACGGCTCTGTGCTGCGCGTTCGCTACGCCTCCAGCGGAACAGCCGCTCTGTGAGCAATCCYGCGGGGCAGGGCCATGGATTTTCCCCGCGGAGATTTACGCGTTCACAGCTCTTCCCTGTACGGTGGGAGCGGCGCGGGAGAGCCGCAGGCTCGGCGGAGCGGGGCCGAGGAGCTGCCCGGTCCCTGCCCGCCATCCCCGCCCCGGCCAGGCCACAGCGCTGATCCGGCCGCCCCTGCGCACCTGCGACCGGGCCGCGGCCTCGCCTCTCCCGCGCCCGTCCCGCACGGCCTGGCCGCGGCTCCAGGCACCCGGGCCGGCGCTGCCGCCCCTCCGCACCGTACCTGGCAGGGGCAGGGGCAGGAGCAGGAGCAGGAGCGGGAGCGGGGCCGGGCCGCTGTCGGAGCCGCTGTCGGGGCCGCGGGAAGAGCCGCGCCAGGGGCCCCGCTGCGCTGCGCGCCCGCGCTCAGGCGGAACCACATCCGCCGCCCGCCTCACGTGACTGCCTGCCGCACGGGGCTCGCGCTCGCGCATGCGCGAACTGCCGGCGGGGCGGGCGGACAGCAGCGCCACCGAACAGCGGAGTGAGGGCGGGACCGCGGGGTGCCGCTGGTACAGCTCGCTGATACAGCTCACTGATACAGCTCGGGACACCGCGACAGTCACAGCGAGTGCCACAGAGTGTTCTTCAAACGCTCCCTGGGGAGCCGCTTCAGTGCACGACCACCCTTTGGGTGAAAAACCTTTTCTGATACCCAACCTAACCCTG